CCATATTTTATTAGTGGCCGACATCAAGGTGTATCAAGCATATATGTGAGCCAGAAATATACACAAACTCCTAAAATTATTCGTGAGAATATTTCACACTTAGCTTTATTTCGAGGCTCAGGGAGCCGTGAAGATATATGCAGAATTGTACGTCAATATACGGATGATCCAAAAAAAGCATCCAAGATAATCGACAAACATTTGCGAGATCGAAATTTTGTGGTCTTCGATTTTACTAGGGCAACTGATGATCCTCTCGCAATTAGATTAGGTTGGGACATACCCTTAAAATTGTATCAATAGGCTCGAAACATAAAAAATCACGTTTCAAAATTTGTAACACGAGAACAAGAATTATGGATCTTTATGTTCGCTTACGAAGTATAAAAAAAATATATACGTACTACCGGTATATGGAAATATAGCGTAGTAGTCCATTCGTATCACAGTCGCCTTACATTGACAGGCATACATACAGAAAATATATAAAGCAGTACCTTTATTGTTTTTTTTCAAAGTTATACATAGTATTTTACTTAATATTGTAAATTTTAAACTCATTACGTTCAACCAAAGTATCTTTCTTATTATATTTGTTATATGACGACAGAACTGGTACAAGATCTAAAGTAAAATTGTGCATTGCAAGCTATAATTACGTATTGATAAGATAAAATTATTTATATTTATTTTTTTGACTTCCGCTTATTAGGTCGACTCGGTGATGACTGGTTTTGCTTTACTGAGTGTACTCTTTGCTTTGCCAACAATTTTTGGTTTTGTCCAACATACGAATTTCTTACTTCAATATAGCACGGGAAGCTCTTGCCAAGTTGACGGGATATTGAAGGTACCATATTCTCGGAGACAATACGACTTCTGGTGTATTGTCAACCAAAATAACGATACTTCAAAACGGTTACCAAAAGCACTGAAGCATGCGAGGTCTTTGTGATCACATATTCCATTTTTAAGGCGAAAGATTATTCGCTGGTTCAACACATCTCGCATTGTTCTGATCAATTTATAATCGTGAATATGAAATTGAGTAATATCGTCGAAATTTGGTGATCCGGTCTGTTCATACAAGAACACTTCCTCATGGCTCTGCCAGAGACGAGCAAGTCCATCCGCGCACTTTGCTTCTAAAACCTTATCAACAATTGCATTTATACCAGTATTACGACGAGCCTTACTGCTTTCTACCGGAATTTCAAGACTATAACAGTGTTATTTCAAAGTTAATTGCAGAGTTAATTACAGCAAACGAATATTTTCCCAGGTGTGTAATCGGGACTTACATTCTCCATTCAACGCTACATACAGTATTCATTGTATTCTCTAATATCGGGCCTATGAATTGCGCATTATATTGATTTTCTCTGAGGTCACCTGACCTTAATATGTTGAATGGTGCTTCGAAAGCTTTGATACTAAAAGAACCCAAATCATTATGCTATAATATTTTACATACAATGGATAAAATAGTAAAGAAACATACTATGGTCCAAGGATGTTGCGGATGACATCCACTAGGTCTTTTTTGTTTCCGTCGATCTTTCACGCCAAGCCTTTTTCCATTCTTCTCGGCTGTTTTTTAACACCAATAAACAAAATGAGTAACGAAGATAAGCAATCAAAAACGATTTTTGTGACATATCTTGAAAAATTCTTGTATGAATTTTTCCCATTCCTCAGATATTTTATGTTTCGGATTTGTGTCTAGCACGAATTTATCCCAATATTTTTCCGCAATTCTATCCGTGAAGCTTGAAGTTGGTCTCATATCCATGATGTCGCTACGACATAAACTAATAGCCATTATTGATGATAAGTAAGACTACTATTTCGAGTCACAAGAAATGATCTTACTCACTCAAAGTTGTTTCCGCATTAATCACAGTAATCTTTAAAAATTTCCTCCAGATCAATGTCGTCCACTATCAATGGGGTCCTTTGACTCCTTTCTATTCTCCCAACCATTGATTCCGATGCTTCCCTGGCCAAACCATTCTCCGAGTCTGAGTTAATTATTGTGTCAGTAATGTAGCGAAATTGTAGTATTTGGCAATATACTATAAACATAGTACCTCTTCCATTTTGAGGTTGGTGTCCATCTTCTCGATCTTTCTCGTTCATATTAACATTTTGTTTTATGTCAGCTTCACTCTCTTAATCGATAGACGATGATGTGTCAGATATGGAGGAACCTTTAATCTATTGGCAAAATATGAAAAGGTGAGAAGATATTTCATGGTTAAATGGCATTTGCGATTTTCATACCGACTTTTTTGATGCCTTCGGGGACTGTGACGTTATTTACACGTTTTCTTGGGTTCGTCTATAAAATAATATATAAGGGTAAACAATTGCCATTTGCTTCTACTAATTTCATGATTGCAACTATTCATACCAGTCTAGTATTGACGTTCGCAATGGTAGAACAAACATTTTCGATGGCAGTATCGACAACTTTTTTGGTGCCATACATTATTGATTTAGAAGCTTCTTCCTGTCATCATGAAAAAAATACAGTCAATACAGGCATAAGTTTGATTAGATAATTCAGAAAAATTAGTTAATAAAAACCTCAAGTTCATACAATTCCTCGTGTAATTCAATTTCCTTCCAAAACGCGTCAACGTCACTAAAATATTCCCTATGCCCCTATAACTCACATAAAATTAGTATAGTATAAATAGGAATGACTAGAGGCATGGGTAGAGACAAGCACAACGGGCAAGCAGACCATAAAGTAGACAGCAAGCAGGTGTCCACCGTAGTTGTGAGGGTTTTCCTTTTTCTACAGCGGGCAATCAGACCGTAAGGTGGACAGCTAGCAGGTGCCCACCATAGCTGTAGAAGCCTCCCTCTGCCATAAAGCCATGCAAAAAACGATTATAGAAAAAACTTCACCTTAAATCTTCCGTTAAGTATACTAGCACCCTCCTTCATTTTGTCCGGACCATTTGTTATCAAAATACTGAGATCCTTTTTCAGCTTGTCAGATTCTTTACGAAAAGAAAAGGTGAAGTCGGATTGTTGTAATCGATACTCATAAAAGTCCAGAAAACGATAATCTTCGGGACGTGTTTCTTCGAAATAGGCACTCCAAGTACGAGACAATTGAGACATGATTTATAAAAAGTGAGTGACAGAATGTAGATTACTTTTATCTAAAATGTCATACAAAAATGACACGCGCGTCCGTTCGGCGCAGTAATATGACGCAGTAGACGATGACTATTACACAAAATCGGAAGTATCTATTTGGCGCAGTAAACAATTAAAAATTCCACTATATCAGATAAATCTAAAACAGACCCTGCAGGAAAAAAGCTTATAGATCTTTTTGGCCCTTTCCCTCCTCTTTTACAAGCATCAGAAAATTTGTTTTGGGAATTTTTCTCATAACCTCAATTTTGCAAAAAGTTATAACATTATAACAAGAGCACAAGTTCTTGCAAATACCCCGAAGCCATATCATGAAAATATTTCATTTCGGGCTATGAAGCCTGATAAAATCCCTAAGGTGGATTCGTTTTCTCCAGATAGAGGTACAGTGCCTATATTTAAAGATGTATGTGCTGATCCAAAGAAAGTGCAAGAGAAAATTATTTCTTATTTCGTTGAAGGACACCATTACAATGTTAGTTCGATATATGTATCTCAGAGTTACTATGACTGCCCAAAGATAATATGAAAAAATCTCACACATGTCTGCCTATTTAACAGATCATGCACTGTGGATGAGCTGAGCCATATTGTGCGTCAATATGCTAATGACTGGCGTAGTGTGATTAAGATTATTGACAAGGCTTTATGTGAACATAAATTCAT